TATAATCCGACTCTAACCTATAAAAACAAAAATATATAACGATTAGATTTTCACATATCTGCACAAAACAAACGTAACAAAACAATATTATATTTAGCTATCATCACAACTCATAAAAGAAATCTCCAACATATACATAATGATATCAAATCAAATTAAATATAAACGGAATAAAGTGCTCAGAATTCACATACAAGAAAATAAAAAGTTTGTACAACATAGAAATTAAAAGAAAAAAAGAGAACCTCTATGTCGAGGGAGCATTATAAAACACAGAAGAAAAAGCTAATCTTCATCCTCATCAGCATCTCGCTCCTCCATGCCCTCCTCGACCGGACGCATGTGCAGCTTGCTCTGGAGATCAAAATTCTCTGTCAGGCATGCTAGACTGTTTGCAACGAGTTGCAGGTCTTCCCACATCTGTCGAAGCTCTTCATTAATCATAGTCATACGCATGACAAGCTCATCTTGTTGAGCTTGCAATGAGTCTTCCCACATCTGTCGAAGCTCTTCATTCACCATAGTCATACGCATGACAAGCTCCTCATGTTGAGCTTGCAACGAGCTAGGGTCACCAATAGCTGCTTAGGGAACGCTCGACCTCAAATGCCATTGCCTTTGCTCTGAGGTCCAACATTCTCCCTTTCTTCTTCCCTTCTACTTGTGTCCATGACTCAAAATCAGACTGCGCAGTGGTAGACTGGCTACCACTGTTGACGGACGGTGAGGTCAACTGGTCGTCTCCCTCTATCTCTCCCAGAGCTACTCATACTCCTGCATAACAAAACATAAAGATTAATTTGTATTTTGAACATCAATTAACATATTGATAGAATTAATTTTTTAAAACTTACATTGACACGACGAGAGAGTGAACGGATATCCACTGTTGTATTCCCGCACCCGATGTGTAAGGATGTGCAAATCTAGAGTGGATGTCTCTCTGTTAAGCTTCGTGGCCTATATACATGATCAGATAAATACATAAGTCACATAATTATATAAATCCGTAAGCTTTTGAATTTCGACATAATCTTACCAACCTCCGATAGTGCTCCATGTAGAGAATCAAACCTCCAATTAGAATGTTGCCCCTTTGGCTCCCTTTGTTGTCTGGTTCTGCTTATTTGTCTATCTCTTCCTCCGATACTTCGAAGAGGCCCATGCTCTGTAAAACTCACTTTAGACTTTCTCCACAAACCACAAGAGCCTCTGCCTCTTCTTACGTGCCAACGTGAACATATCTTTGAGCCTATACCTGACATGAACCTAAAAAATCTGTCGGATATGCTGATGATGCTCCAGCAACTAGTGAAATGACCTCTGCAAAGTAGAAAGTATGTAACTTGATTAGCATATAAAAAAGATGGATTAGTATCATACCTCGAACTACCTAAAATACATATCCTGAGCGGCAATCAAAATCCACTTCCATGTGATATGGCTGATCATATCTGCTCCAAATGATCTACATGATCCAAGCTGTGGGTGGCATTGAGGGATAAAACCTGCAATGAATCCATTGAGTACATTATAAAATTTAATGAAAAATTGAAATTACTATAATGTAAAAATAGAAGTTGACTTACGAGTCATCCTCGGGCTCTATATAGACTCTGTAGGTAGTGTCAACCATCCCAAGTGCTAAAGGCGATGAGTCTAGCTCATCGGATGATGATGATGGGCAGAAATTAGTTGGAGCGGGAGGGGGTGCCTGCGAGGGACCTGGCGCTAGCGGAGTTCATGAATCCCCATAGTCTCCTCTAGGGGTAACTATTAATTTATTGAGCTAAACTAATTACAAAAAGTTAGAAATAACTAACTCTTGTGTTAACCTCATTATTGGTGAGGTCTGATTTTCTCCTCTCTAGAAGCCTAAGCTCAAGACATATGACTTTCCTGTTGACAATCCTAGAGGACTAGTGATGAACCCCTCCTTTAAAATTTCTGAACACTTCCTTATTCTTTCTGGAGTTTTACATGTATAGTTATAACCTCTAGCACTTAGAAAGTTGGAACCAACATAGGCAAACTCAAAGAGAATTCCCATATGATTGTCAGGCCTTAGGGTTCGCCCTAGATAGCTTGGTTTTGGTCAGGCTTAGACAAACATTTGAACCTATCACAAACTCACACATCATAAACCCTAAAGTCATTCACATTTGACATTTTTCCCACCCTTTTAGAAACTCATGTGGGTGGTCCCCAAGCCCTTAGCCCTTGGCTAGGGTGATTAGGACCAACATATGGAGGATCCAAAATGGACTCTCCCATTAGTCCCATAGCATCAGAAGGATAACATCATGATTAGGATTTCCAATGATCTGCAATTCCACCTAAATATCCTACCATGGCCTCCAACCCCAAAGTTTTACAAAATTATCAAAATGCCCCCCGGGACCCTAAAATTCTCAAAATCCCCCAAACTTTTAATTTCTCACCAAAAAACATGTCGAACCACTTCAAAATACCTCAATTGCCCAAATACCCCAAAAAATTTTAAAATTACCAAAATTCCCCCAATATCCCAAAAATTGTCAAAATCTCCAAAATCACTTCAACCACCACTCCCACCTTTGCTTCTTCACCCACCCCCATCCTTACCTCAACCACCACTTTTGTCCCCACCTATGCACAACCCCCACTTTCGCCACCACCCACCCCCACATTCACCCCAGCCATCGCCCCAATCTCCACACTCACCTTAGCCACTCGAGATGTTAGCCCTTGGGTTGAGTTTCTTCCTCATGGTGGCTCTGCTTCTGAGAAACTTGCTCCCTTCCTCCTAGCATTACTCTAATCAACACTATCATCTGGCCCAACATCTGGCCTCTCAATTCATGAATTTGTTGTTGAACAAATTCTCTAGTGCATTCCATATTTTGTGTGTCTCTCATATGGGTTTCTTCTCCATGATGTGCCCTTCTTCTTATTTTCAGCGCACTTTACACTCACCACTACTTTTAGGATGCTAAATTCAAGATTGACTCATAAAACACACCCAATAAATGAAGCATAAAACGAAAGAGAGAGAGAGAGAGATAGAGAGAATGAAAGAGATTGGATTAGTTTGAATAGTTTATTAGCCTTTTAATTTTGAAATGTCATCCTATTTATAGGCTCGAGGGTATGAAGTGTACAATTGCCTAATTGCCCTGCTTGAATAAGGATGTTACATGACATTTTAGTCATAAAAAAATTCATGAAAAAAATTAATGAATGAATGAACAAAAAAGTATGGAAAGATCTCGGGTTTGGCTGCCTCATCATCGAATTGTCTAGGATAGGGGACTTTGGGTCGACCAAGTTCAGCTGATTGACTTAACCAAATCAGGGCAAGCTATCAATTTGGCTAAGGGCCTGCGGTCGGCCTGGTTGAGGGCTTTTGATTGGCTCAGAAGAATATCTGGGCCACCAAACAATATTCGGTCGATGCTTTTGGTCTGACTATTAGCCATTGTCCCACTTAAGTAGGATCATGTTGCCAAAATGAGACTAGGCTATTGGGCAGGAGACACTTTACCATAATCCGACATGGCTCCACCTCTTTAACAAAAAAGTCTCTAGGGGAATTTATGTCGGTGCCGCGTTGAACACTAGACTGACCTTGGTGAGGCTTGAGGTTCTTTCTACGATGATTCATGGTATTATTTTGGGGAATTTGATAGATTCCCTTGCCAAGATGAATGTCAAACTAAACTTTAATTCATCTATTTGATCGCCATTTTATTCACCAATTCCTCCTCCATTTCACAAATTGTATAATGCGAGATATCTGACTCGATTTCACCTAAATGGTATTAGTTTATTTTTACTTATTAAATTTTCTTTATTTCCAATTAATTCTCTGTTTCGGCTGTTTTCTGAATTTGGAATCTTTATAAAAAATCATTTATTGTTCAATCTTTTTCCACGTTGTGATTAATAAACCGGTTTTACTTTCTCAATTTCTTGCCTGTGCATTTGTTATTAATGTCATTTTCTTCCCTTTCTTTTTACAAGTAATCTAAATACGATTATTTTATTTGTTTCCCTTCAAAGGATGGTGCCTCTTATCTTTATAACTTAACCAGTTTATTTCTAAGACTATTTTTTGAGATTGTGCTAGTTATAAAAAGCAAAATGTTGAGGTATTGAAGAGCTAGCTATTACAGCAGTTTATGTATAAATAAGATGGAATTTATATAAAAAATAAATTTTAATTCTTAGATTTATAAATTTGTACAACTGAGTGATATGTATGTAAATTTTTTTCTCTTAATTTGTCGGAAATAAAAGTATTTCTAAGAAAATCAGAACCTTACAAACAAAAAAGAAAAAAAAAAAAAGTTAAAAAGAGTATGTTGTCACAGATTTTTTAAGAGAATAAATCCCAAGCCCTAAATTAAAATTCATCTAAAATTTTGATTTCAATAAACTTTCAGTCAAACTTACCAACTCAACGAGCGAGACCTAACGATATAAAAATAGGTCCAATCCGAGTTGAATCAAAACCATATCAAGCCATTAAATCACTTTTGGAAGCTTTCCGAAAATAATTACAATGTTAAACAAATTCCGAGTTTGGTGTGCTTATAGTCAAATGAAGTGTCTCAATAAAACGAATTCAACAGGGCTAAGATTACTCAATCCCGACATCATTAAAATTCTAAAGTGTCCTAAAACGTCCTCCGATGAAGAGGATCTCTTTAGCCACTTCGATCAAGAGTGATCCAGATTTCTTCTTTTTTATAATATGACCTCCATAAACAGAGCCATAAACCCTTTAAGAGGGGACCTAGATCCTGTGCAAGAGAAAGACTAGAGTTTGCATTATAGGGAGCTGCAACCCTTCATTCTGCACCGCAGACCCAACTAACTACGGCTTCCGCCCCCTCAGACCGCTTACCACCCATATTCCGACAAATCCTTTATCTGCATCAAAAAACCTCGGCCGTGACCGCATCTCGGCTCTCCAGCACTATATAAGCCATCTCATTCATTAATCAAAAGCTCAAATTGAACCGAATCAAACCTTCCAACACCCAATTCTCTGCATTCCATGGCCTCTGAATCAGAAAGCTCTTCTTTTCCGGTGCCGATTGATGACCGGAAGGGCTCATTTGGGCGGCCGTCTGAGAACTGGATTAGGCTAAATGGGCCGGCGGTGGAACGAGAGCTAAGCATTCAGCCCAAACGGAGAGGTGACCCGGCGTATCTAACGTGGGAGGATCTGTGGGTGACTGCATCGAACGGCAGAAGTCCGTCCACCCCAATCCTCTCTGGACTCACCGGGTTCGCACAGCCCGGCGAGATCCTAGCCATCATGGGCCCGTCCGGTTGCGGAAAGACCACTCTCCTGGATGTTCTTGCAGGTACTATGGGATGTTATTAAGGAATTAGAGTGGAATTAGATAAAAAAAATGTTAATAAATATAACGTCAGAGTTAATAATAAGTTTATGAACCAGGAAAGCTTCACTTCATTCGTTTATCTTAATTGGATCTTAAAGAAGCGCCGTAGTGTCACTTTTAAGGGAAATTTTACTATGTCCGTCGTCCGGATGGCGGGATGCGTCCGACGGCCGTGATACATCAGAGACCTCCGTTGTATCACGTACTGTCGCCCGGACGTAGCTCGACGTCCGTCGTCATCTCTCCTTTTAATGAGAGAATATTACGAACACTGCAAGTATAAAATATTGTTTATTTTGGTCATCTCTACTTTTAAGGAAAGTATAAAACATTGTTTTATGAGAGGTCCAAACTCAATTTTGGCAAATTTAAATAAAAGTTTTGGCGTCCGTCGTCTGTTATGATAACTTTGAAATTTATAACGATCGACTACGAAGCGAATAAATATAGCACGAAATGAACATTTTGGGGCAATACAACTCTTGGGATACAAATATTTTATGTTGTTTATTTTAAATCTAAAATTTCAAAGAAATTTTAAATAACCTCTAAGATATCACACGTCACCTAAATTGAACAATATATATATATATATTTTTTATTTCATTTTGATTTTATATGTTACCCTCAGGCATTAATTTCTCTAAAATGAATTTATTATAACAATTTAAAAGCTTCTTCAATTAATTATTAAATTCCTTTTCTTTTTCTAACAGGAAGACTAACATCGCGCATGACAAAATCAGGAGTTATATTTGTTAATGGGCAAGCACAAACATTGGCATATGGAACCTCGGTAAAATTCTCATGTCCTTAATTTATATGAGAAAGAGTTCTAGAGTTTATAAAAATATTAAAATAATCTAAAGATTTCTTGTTCTAACAGAATTACTATTAGAACCCAATCATAAAATAGTAAGTTATTATTTTAACATTCGGGTAAAGTGCCAGAATAGTATCATCCTATTTCCTTGAGGGCATTTTAACCAATTGGATATAATTAGCTCTGTTTAATCGTGTTATTATTCATAAACACACTTACCAAACCATTCTTTTAGCCCATCCCAAAAAAATTGAATTAGGAAAAAAAAGTGGAATAATGATTAGAAGAGGCGCTCATCATTACTATATTATGAGGCTTCTTTTATATATTCATATAATATACTAAGAAATCCTATCCCTCATAAACTTAAATACTTAGTAATGATTCAATATTAATGATTTTTTGTAATTTAATAATCAAAATTCATAACAATTTTTTAAAAATAAGTGGCATCCCTTAAATTTTTATTTTGCCACATCATCACATTATCTAATAATTAATGAATTTACATTGAATGTCGACTAAAAACCTAATTAAAAGGAACTGAGTGATTGGGAGATTTTTTCTTCTCTCTCTCGAATCAGGATTTCACTGACTAATTTTACCAATATTTGAACACTTGCCATTTCAAAAAAAAAAAAAAAAAGGGACTTTTCTACTTTTTTTAATGATAAGCGGTGACGTATGCTTTGCCTTATTTATTTTATTTTATTTTTCTGTACTGTTTCTCTATAAATAATAATTTCTCGGGGGAAAGCTTATTCCGCAAGATTGTCTTAACTACTTCCTGACTTGCTGACCCCTTCTACCGAAGAACTTCGTTGATAGTTTGGTCGAGAGAAATTATACAATTGTCCCATCTTTCTACATATGAGCTGGACGTATACAAAACAAAATCCAATAATACCGAATTTTCCTTGTTTGCAATTAAAATAATAATAATAATAAAGGGCAAGTTTATTTAGTTAATAGAAATTATAATTAGCTAAATTCATTTTTTAAACCCACATAAGCAAATGTGCATACCCCGCAACAAAACTCAGCACCCTAAGATTGCCATGATATATTCATCCTCAGCAAACGCACACTATGGGAAAAAGGCCTATTTGTATCGCATATTTCCGACGCTAATAGGGTCATTTCCAACATTAATTCAGATTAGCGTCTGAATAGCGTCGTTTTTTTCTTCTAACGTTAAAATATTCATCGCTAATTTATTTTGGGTCTACACACTATGGGAAAAAGGCCTCTTTGTATCGCATATTTCCGACGCTAATAGGGTAATTTCCGACATTAATTCAGATTAGCGTCTGAATAGCGTTGTTTTTTTTTCTGACGTTAAAATATTCATCGCTAATTTATTTTGGGTCTGATTTTAATTTGACGTTAAAATGGGCTTAGGAAACAATGAAAACGTTGAAAGGAAGCTGAATGATACGATGGCACGTAATAGAGCTATGGTTTGCGGTAGCCCTATTTTAGGGCGCTTGCGTCCGCATTAGTGTCAATCAATAAGTGAGATTATCATATGTCATATCTGAAGCTAGCGACTTCTGCTCGAAGCAACTCGCTTGTGTCAGTTCGTCTGGAGTTGGAACAGTGGAGCGAAGCTAACAGACGCTATCGGTCGCTAATTTTGTGTCGGAAATATTCCTAACGCTAATTTACAGTTTTCCCGTAGTGACACAGCATCAAGATGATTTTAGATGTACTATCGGCTTACAAGCTTGTTCATTTATTATCAAAAAGAAAAATTACTTATCACTGAAATAAATATATCAAAATGAATGAAAATTTGGAGGAATAATACTATCAATCACTCGCATAACTAATTAAAAACATATTCTAAATATTTTTTAAAAACTTTTCACTTAAACTTTTGTGGGAAGCATAAACAAATTACAATCAAATGGAAAAACAGAGTTTATGGGAAGAATATATATCAGGGAAACAGGATGGATCTTAAGTCACACAAATAATAATAGCCTTTTTTTCTTGAAAAAATAAGAAAAAAATAGCTGAAGTAATTACTTTTAGCCACAATTTCATAAGAAATGACATAAATTTTATTGTTTAGTCACATATTAAAAAATGTATCCTTATAGCTTAGGCTTCATGACTAGAATTGAAAATAACTTATCCGGATGTGGCATCGCATTAAAATATTAGTATGGAAATCACTTAAATATTTGAGTTTAAATTATTCTTGCAGGCATATGTAACCCAAGAAGATGTTCTAATGACCACCTTAACAGTCAGAGAGGCTATTTATTACTCTGCAGAGTTATTGCTACCCGATACAATGTCAAAGTCTTCAAAAAGGGGGAGAGCTGATAAGGTAATAATGGAAATGGGACTAAAAGATGCCATAAACACTAGAATTGGAGGAAGAGGTAAAAAGGGTATTAGCGGGGGGCAAAGGAGAAGGGTCAGCATTTGCATAGAAATCTTGACCCGCCCAAGGCTTCTCTTCCTTGATGAGCCCACGAGTGGGCTCGACAGCGCCGCGTCATATCATGTTATGAGTACGATTGTAAAACAAGCTCGACAATATAGTGGAACGGTCATTGTCTCGATCCATCAACCAAGCTTTGAAGTGTTCGAGCTCTTTGACAATTTTTGTCTTTTGTGTTCTGGCAAGACCATCTATTTTGGCCCTATTTCATCAACTGTAGAGGTACTTGCTTTTTTAAAGAAAGAAATGCTAACCTAATATAGACATAATCATATAGAGCTTCAATTATATCATACATAATACTAATTTAAATTAAAAATAATATGTATTGTTGTGCTTCTAAAGTGTTTACAATTTTGTTGCAGTTCTTTGCAGCAAATGGCTTTCCATGTCCACAACTGAGGAACCCTTCTGACCATTTTCTTCGAACAATTAACAAAGACTTCGATGTCAGTGCATACTTCACTTTTCTATTTTTCTTCAAGTGACACAAATAATTCAAAGATAATTAATACTTCTTAATTGGCTTTCCTTTCATAAAGGTGATTGGGCAAAGTGATGGTTATGTTAGCATAATGAATACAACACAGGCCATTCATATTCTAACAAACGCTTACAAATCTTCAAGTATTTCCCAAGATGTGTTGAGAACAATAGCTCAGATAAACAGCATGGTAAGCTACAAACTTGTTCATGTTTTTATTTTTAGAAGCAATTATTAAAATGATAAGATTTTTTAGAATGATGTTTATAGGAAGGAAATATGGTGAAGAAAGAAGAACAAGCTCGATTTATCACTCAATGCTTAGTGCTTACAAAGAGATCTTTCGTGAACATGTTCAGAGATTCTGGCTACTATTGGTTTCGACTGGCAATCTATATTGGAATTGGACTTGCCTTGGGGACACTTTACTATGATATTGGATCTGATTATAGATCAATTCAGGTAGTCCAAATGATTTTTTACCTAATTATCCTATTTAATTGCTTTGCACGTCAACATATATTTAATATGATAAAAAAATTAGTGAATATTTAAAATATTTAATAGAGTACTTCAACAATGTTCAAATAAATGTATATAAAAAAAAAAAGAATCCACTTTATTTAGGTGGATTAGTGAAGAAGTGGGAGAATTTTAGAAATTTTTTTAGGGAGAGAGCGTTGATTGTCTGCCTAATTAGTGAAATCAAAAAATAATTTGTGTTACTTTATATTAGGAGAAATTGAGTGAACATCTTTATTCTATAACTTATGAATGAAAATAGTTCAAATATTGCAATCTTCTTTATCTAATATTAAAATAGTGTTAACATTTCAGACAAGAGGTCTAATGTTGACGTACGTAGCTGTGTATTTCACTTTCATGGCCATAGGTGGATTCCCTTCTTTTGTGGAAGATCTTAAGGTCAGTCAATTTTTTTCTGATTAATTTTTTTATTTATGCAAGGTTATGCCATTTGGTCAAAGCAAGTTTCCAAAAATATTTTTGATGTATTAAATGTTGATGTCATAATCTCCCTTCAGATTAATACAACCACCTAATTAATATTTATCTTCTATTAAAAAAATGAGTGTTGAAGCACAAATTTACTTACAAATTTTAAGAGTGTCATATGACTGACACCATCCACAAAACGATCAAAACTCATTTCTATTAGCTGACTGTTAAGTGGTAACAGATATTGCGAAGAAACTTTATTACCCTGTCAGTTTTTTATTTATATGTTAACAAAATTCGTTAAAATAAAAAGGATGTTTGTTTTGACTCATGAAGATATTGTTTTAGTTTTGGGTAGGCAATGTAACAAAGCCCTTTATAAAATCATGAAACTCGTTTATTAATTTGGCCTTCTAACTATTTTTCAATTTTGTAGATTTTTTATAGAGAGCAATATAATGGACACTACGGTGCTGCTGCATTCACCATTTCAAACTCCCTCTCTTCGATGCCTTTTCTTCTCCTAATCACCATCATCTCTTCCACAATTGCATACTTCCCGCCTGATCTCCACAGAACTACCCAACACTTCATTTTTTTCTGCCTCATCATATACTCAAGCTTCCTCCTCGTTGAAAGCCTCATGATGATAATAGCAACCATCGTCCCAAACTTTCTCATGGGCATCATCACCGGCGCTGGCATCCAAGGGTGGATGATGCTCGCATGTGGTTTTTTTCGATTGTCGAACGACATGCCAAAGCCAGTGTGGTTATATCCAACTTACTATATTTCTTTTCATAGATATGCAATTCAAGGACTCTTCAAGAATGAGTTCATAGGGCTTACTTTTCCGAGTAGTGACAATTCTAACACCGGGAATTCTACACTTTCTGGAATTGAGATTGTGAGAGATTATTGGCACATGCCAACTAGTTATTCAAAGTGGGTTGATGTTTTTATCTTGTTTGGGATGGCTTTTATTTATAGATTCTTGTTCTGGGCAACAGTTAGAATTAAAGAGTTGAAAGTCAAGGGTCGGATGCCAGTCAAACAAAAGCGGATCACTGAAAGTTCCATCATCAACTCTATATAAGAATATTGGAGACGGTGTGTTATACAAAGCTTAGTGAAGAGATGATAAGGTTGAACTTTTTCTATCTACATTTCAAAAGCTATTTATGCATATTTATATAACTTGAGAATGTTCAGATTGTCAAGTTGAAAGAGTAGTAGTATCCTTTTTTTATCGTCGCATGGAGGAGAATTGTATTACAATCTTTGGGTGCTTTTATCATATTTGTCATACTTTTGAAAAGTGAATACCTATATCTTCTTATACTTTATGAGGAGGATTGATTAATTTTTTAGATTCTTAAATGCTGTTGATTGGTTTATATGTGTTTTTCTTATGAAATAAAATTTTATATTTGTTGATGACTTAAGGTGTTTGGCTACACGAATGGATCAACTAATAAAATCGTACTTAGTTTGCGCAACACTTTCTGGAGACTATATATTAATAAATAATGATTTTTTTTACATGTTTTTGCTAGCAAATAAAAATTATTTATAAAAAATAATTAGATCAAAAACATACAAAAATGAAATCTAAAATGTAAATAAGATTTTTTTGTCCGAAACAAATAAGGATGCATCATTTCGTTCCACGACAGTGAGAGGATTGTGCAAACTGCAATGGTGTGAGGAAGCTCATGATGTGTTTAGCACTCATTGTGTCGAAGCAATTATGCAACCCCTACCGATGAAACTCATGAGTGCTTTCAACTAGGAAGAAAAATATTTATTATAATAATAATAATATTAGGAATTAGCGGTCACTTTGATTCAAAATCAATCATAATTTAGAGCATATTTAAAAATGAACAAAGCCTTCAAACAAAATAAAAGCAAATAATTCAAACTAAACCGAAATATTTAAAAAACAAATAAAAGCAAACAGATTGTGCTTGTTTGGTTTTATTGTCGATTTTGGCCGCTGAAGGATTCACAGTTTTTAGTATAATCGAGCGTTCAAGACCCAAATTAATTTTAGCAAGATTAAATTCATGCCTAAAAAATGTCATTTAACTCAGTTGACAAAATTTCTATCATGCTTTTAAAATGAGAGGCTGTATACATTGAAGTATGTATAATGATAGAAATCACTAAAAAAAAAGAATTAGTTTTTTTGACAGTTTTGAGTACTCACAATCCTCGAAGTAGGCATCCATGTCCATTGAAGTATTAGAATTATATACATCTAATAAGCACAATCAGAGAATAAAAAATTTATGACAGTAGTTTATGTTCTTTGAATTTTGCATACCCCTCTGCGAAAAATATCTCAAAATGTATCAAGATCTATTTAAATATGATAATTTTAAATTCATAATAAATTTTTGAATTCCATATGTGGAAGTTCCTTTAATAAAGATAATTACACATGCACTAGTATTTACAATTTGTATTATGATTGAGGCTCTATCTCATGAAAATCTAAGAAACAAGTATAATTGCTAGTTAAGGCAGACTCCACCATATCCCTCTCATGTGATACTGTACCTAAAAATTGATAAAAATAATTAACATAGATAAACTGATTAGAACTTAAATCTTAAAAGCCCAAAATTAAACCTAAAGTCGAATCCCAAAGTCAATGACCCAAGAACTAAACTGAACATTAAAAATCTAAAACTAAGCCACGACACTATAACACATTAACGAGACTTGCTAACTCACTAAGAAACAAAATAAAATTAGAACTAAATAAATCAATGAAGAACACAAAACAACAAAGCTATGATACTAAAATCCAAAGAATTGACAAGTGTCACCAAGGTCAACCAAAACCAAAACCTAAATCAATTCATGAAAGAACAAGACCAAACTAATCTTGGACTTAGCCACCTAAACCAAGCTCAACCCAATAGCCTTGAGCTCCTCCCATGCCAATTCCATGGCCATTGGAGCCTCTTTGCCCAAATACTCAGAAGAAGGGAAGTTTTCTTCCCTTGCCCTAGAGCTCTTCCCAAGCTCTACTAGACTCCTCAAAGGATCTTCACAGCATCCCCAAAAAATGCCAGAGCACTCATGGCTTCCAATGGCCAAAAGAGGCCTTAGCCCCAGAACACTCCAAGTGATCCAAGCCTCCCAACTCCTCAAAAAAAAACCCCCTCACTTTTGCCGCCAAACTCAAGCCACATACATCACAACTCCATTCCCTTCATCCTTAAGCTCTTCCCACCACCTCACAGCCCTAATTTCACCAAGCAAAACCATGATTTTTCACAAGCACCCATCAAACTCCTCGAAACTTTAAAAAAAAAAAATACATCCCAAAAGCGTCACATAGGGTCAAAACCACCTTGTCAATCAAATCCCCTCTGTCCTGCACCTCTTAGCCTATCCCAACACCATCCTGAACTTCCATTATGCTACAACATACTAGGACCCAATTTCAATTCAAATTAAATCTTGGAGGAGGTGCGCATTATCAAAGGCGAAGCTCTTTGCCAACCCAATTGAGGGTAAACCTCTTGAGCTAAGGTAATAGCCAAAAACTCTTCAATTCGCTCTTGGTTTGTAGCTTTGTAAAAGAAAATTCAAATTCACGTATGATTAACCGTATAGATCTATCTATTAGGACTAGTTGCATGTTTAGGCTCAATTAGATTTAAGTTGAGTGCGTTATAGAGAATTTTAGCTATATATCATGAGCAACTCTCTGTTCTTTATTTCTGGGGATGATAAACCGATAGTGTTTGTTCTCATGTATTAGAAAAATATGGTGGAGATCGAGATAGTATCAGATAATTGCCACCTCAGATAACATAAGTTGAGTGCGTTATATCGAGAGAATTTTAGCCATATATCATGAGCAACTCTCTGTTCTTTATTTCTAGGGATGATAAACCGATTGTGTTTGTTCTCATGTATTAGAAAAATATGGCAGAGATTGAGATAGTATCAGATAATTGCCACCTCAGATAACATAATGAAAGCCAAAAAGCAAATAAATTTATTTTTATGAATGCTCAGAATGAATTTTAATTATTTTGAATAATCTTAAAGACCAAAAAAAAGGCCAAATTTTAGAATGCAGCGCACACGAAAATTAAATTAAACTAGATTTTTTGGCATTCTATGTACAAAAATTTATTAATAGCGTCAAATAGTATTTTATTCATTTTTTTAATTCTGTGCGGTCTTTTTTTAAACAGCTTTCCAAATTTTTTAGCACCTTTTTTATTATAGCAAGTGGCGTGTTCATGGTATTTTATAAAGAACCAATGGTATTTTTAATTAATAATTAAAATTAATTATATTAATCAGAATTCATTTTTTTTTTCCTTCATTTTAAATACACTACATAAAATTGAAAGAAAAAAAATTAACTTAATCATTCGATTTAAATTTCATTAATTTGTCCAAAAATTTTTTAAATTAATATTTATTTAATTTAATTTCGTCATTAAATTTTAATAATCATAATAATAATAATAATAACAATAACAATAACAATAATAATAATAATATAATTTCTTTTTTATAACAATTTGATAGCATTTCACCAGCTATTCCACTTAATATTATAAAATAAATGTGATAGAATTTTAACTGTCAGACAAATTAAATAAAATAAAAGAGAATTACATCTGTACCACTTAACTCTTATGTATTGACATATATATAAGACCTTAACTTTAATTTTTACCTTTTTACTTCTTATGACATCAAAAATGTATATTTTTATGCATAAATAAGATGACAAATATGGTAGGAGGTCAAGTCAATTGGAGGTTGGTTCTTCAGTATGTTGTGGTTTTGTCTACTATAGAGACTGAGTACATGACAGTCACGGAGATGATGAAGGAAGCAATATGGATCCTGGGCCTATTGGATGACTTGGGATTGATCAGGATTCTCTCATGGTGTTATGCGATAGTCGTAGTGCAATATTTTTTGCCATAATTTTAGTTCATCAAGCTCGTACCAAGTATATTGGTGTGAGGTTATTTAAGTTGTGATTGATGACAAAAATGTTATGTTAAAGAAGATAGATACGAAGGAGAATTCAACAAACATGTTTTGGAATGTATAACAAATCCAGAAGTTCACATACTGTAGGAGTTTGGTAAACAACTGAGCTCAGGACTGATTGCCCAGTCATACATTTTGAAGAACTACGCGAGGTTTGATCTCTTAGGGAGGGAAGTGCATAGGCAACCATCTTGGTGCAAAAAAATTTGAGTTTGGAGCTCATTTGGCTATCTCTCACTTATCCAGAAGTAAAATATGAGGTGAAATTGTTGTATTTATGACTTATTTTAAATCAGGTTGTCTTTGAATTTTATTTACTTATACGTCTTAGTCCTTATCTATAAATGAGAGATATGGTGAGAGTCTGAAAGTTGTAACCCAAGGCTTTTTCTTGTTCTTTTTTCCCATCTAGTGCTGATGAAATCTCCCTCTCAGTATACGTAGGCGAATCCATCAACCCATGTAAGTCTTTTATGTTTTATTGTCATAGTTTTCGTATAGCACATCAAATAAATTTTGGGTCACAAATAATGATGGAATCATAGGGTGATTAGAAGAGTTGCGCTCATCAATCCTAAATCTTTAGGTCTCCTTAACATGATCATATTATCATATAATATACTCTGTAATCTTTTCTCTCATAAATTCAAATACTTAATAGCGGTTCAATATTAACTATTTTTTTAGTTTAGCAATCAAATTTATAATAATATTTAAAAATAAAAGAAATTTTTAAAATTTAAATAACTGCCATCTCTTTTTTTATTATTTTTTGCCACCCTTTATCGATCATCACAATATCTAATAATTAATGAATTTAATTTGAATGTGGATTAATAGCCCCATTAAAAGCAGCAATCTTAATCAAAATATAATAAATCATTAGTAGTAATTTAGGTTGCCAAAATCTTGTACATCCAATAATTAAAATTTATTTTTTGTTGCTGGCTGCAGCTGGGTGATTGGAAGGTTTTCTGTGCATTACATTATACTAATTTTATTAATAGTCGAACACCTTGCCATTTCAGAAGAAAAAAAATATATTTTCTCTGTCGTTAATGCCAAGCGATGACGTTTGCATTGCCTTATTTATTTTATTTTATTTTTCCTTGTTTCTCTTTAAATAATAATTTTTCCGGGGAAAACTTATGCCATAAGGTTTTTTGAACAACTTCCCGTCCCTTACTGGCCATTTCTACGGAAGATTTGGTTTATAATTTGGTAGAGAGATTATACAATTACCCGATTGTTCTAAATATGAGCTGCATCCAAAACAAATCCAATAATACCCATTTTCCTATGTTTGCAATTAAAAATAATAATAGTA